CGCTGGTATCACCAGGTGCCAAATACAGAGGATGAGTTACTGCAACTGTAACTCCTTCCTCGAACTCATCGTCCGATGATGCATGCGAAGCAGTCTCAGCTGTGACAGTAGCATTCTCATCATCAATCGCCATTGTCAACTTATTCTAGGGTTTTAGTTTCTCAGATCTGGAAACAATTGTGATTGCAATTGATTCAAATTGACAGAAACTTAAATGAATGAGGAAGAGAAATTTTGGATCGATTTGAGCTTCGATTCTGAGCTCAAGGCTCTGATACCATGCTAAACTTTATGGGAGAGCAGCCATGCACGAGCTTAGGTTAATGAAGAGAAGAAGAGAAGAAATGAGAGTAGAGAGAAGAATAGAGAAGGAATGAAAAATAGTAACTGCTTCTCATTCATTCTGAAAGAGATGTACAATAGTATGTGTATATATTTACACGTGAGTTAATCACCTACCTACTTAACTAATCTAGCTAAGTGTAAATAGACTAAAATACCCCTCAAGCTTTAAGTCACTCCTCTTTCCTCAACAAGAATCCGGGGAAGGGTCGCACCTCCGGGGTTATGATGTAGGCAGCCTACCTAATTTGTATCATGTATGGACAATTTAATATAATAGCAAAATTACTTCTTGAAATAAAGGTGATTGTCTCGGGCAAGATTCTGCTATAATATGAGTTTCCATTTCACTACCAAAATTACTCCATCTGATGCTGTTTATGGAAAGGAACCAACTTCTTTAATTTTACAAGTCCCAGGCACAGCGAAACTAGAGTGTAACGGAACAACAGTTGCTAGCTCGCGATCTTATTGTCAACGATGCGAGGGAGAAGATTGCAGCAGCACTAAGCATAGTGAACTAGAATTTTCTGTTGGTGAATTTGTATATCTCAAGTCGCAAGCTTATCTACAGACTTCAGTGGCTTAGCGGATGGTACATTAGCTTTCATCGATCGAGGTATTACAGAGTTCTAATATCCAACCTCAACTTGTTTGAAACTGAGGCGTAGTTGTTGTATATAACACATCAAGGAAGAGTCACGCGTTCCATCAGAGTCTAGGGACTTAGATTATTTTGTTCAATAGTCTGATGAAGTTCTTAACGCGCGCACACACACATGTACACACATCACAAGATTGAAATATAACAGAGAATATATACATGCAAAATTTTCTGTATAAAACTTAAGAGCAAGCTTAAGAAATCTAGGACTAGCTAGAAGAATTGAATATTGCAAAAGTGAAAATGTCTATTAAATAGTTCAGCATACATTTTAACCTACTAAAGTATGTATACAGATCATCAGGAGATCCTCAAGGGCTGCTAAAAGCTTCTCTGGCATTGTCGAAAAGGCCTCAATATTATGCTCTTCAAGACCGATCACGCCATATTTTCACTGTGCTCCAGAAACATCAGGAAATAAAAGCAAAATGCAATGCGTTTAAGTTCTATACGCTGATAGTATAAACAAAAGTTACGCAGTCAGTATATTATATATAACTTAAATCCAAATATCAAGAAGATTCAAAGGATTTCCACCAATTAGTCAAGATTGTCATTATCTGTATTGAGTGAAACAAGGCCCGAACAAAAGCGAATTTTGTTGAAGAACCTAAGTTAGAGCGATACGAATATGTCTGGCCATACGAGCTGTGGCATAGAACCAGATCATCTTCCGGATATGTCAATAATATAGCATCTCTTTCATTTATCCAAGTGATTGCTCCACAATGCTTACTTCTGTTAGATTAAAAAGCCATCTCGATCAACAACAACAAAAAACCCAGTGTAATCCCACAAGTGGAGTCTGGGGAGGGTAGTATGTATGCAGACCTTACCCCTACCTTGTGAAGGTAGAGAGGCTGTTTCTGATAGACCCTCCGCTCAAAGAAAGCATGGTCACAAGAAATCAAAAAAAAAAAATCATCTCGATCATTTAGTCGTTTGTCAAGTCAGGCAAAGTGAATCCTAGAATCCATAAGGAATGTCATATACACATACCTAGAATCCACCTCAGTGATCACTTCTTTCTCCAGATCAACAGTTAAATCACCAGAAGGAAATGTATCCAACCTGGCATTCCTATATACCGAACAAGCCCTGACAGAGCGATTGACACTCACATCTCTCTCATTTCCGGTGATTTACCTATTCGAGCACGAGTCCCTAACCCTTTTCCAAGAATTGTGATTCAAAGAGTAAATTTCAATCCGTGCATCGTGTTTTCTCTCATGTCGTAGTACCCTGACTACTTTGTAATAATTGGTATTAGGAACAATATAGCCAAAGCCAAAGTTATCAGCAACATATCCCAAATGAATACTTGGCTTAGGCAAAGATTTGAATTCTTTAGTTAAAGGGTTCCACAAGTAGACATAAGAAACATGGGACAATAAAGGTCCACAAATACAAAGTATACCATTAACAGGTTTCAATAGCATATAATCTAGAGAATGCAATTCTATTGGAATCTTGAATTTCCATATCACATTACTAGGGCATGAAACATCACTATTACTCAACAGTGGGTAAAGTTTATCACATATTACGTTGATACGCGTGGTGATTTTTGGTGTGGATAATAGAGAACGCCATGATTTGCAAATGAGACAGGTTTGGAAGAGAGATTTAAATGGCAGTCTGTTGAGGATGTTGATTATAATGTCAAATGGTAGATCAGTGAGATTCACTTCCCTTTGAGATGAACAAGAAATTTTGTTGTCTTTCACAGCCTTAATGAAGGATTCTTAGGTTAATTTATCATAGATGATTGCCATATGACAATAAAAGGTGCAATAAGAATTAAGAATTCAAGAAAATAATTTTCCATCTTAGAATTAGAGAGGGTAAGTTTTTAAATTTTTTGAAGTTTTGATGCTTTTAATACGCAACGTTCTTTATACGAACATTGCTTCTTCTTTTTTTGAATAAATAATGGCTGATATAGTACTGAAGAAAGATTCTTATTTTTCTTTTTTCATAAAGGACGTGTGTTGATTATCATGCCTTAAACCGAGTCACGAAGGACAAATTTCCTATTTTTGTTATTGATGAACTACTAGACGAGTTGCACGGAGTGCAATTTTTTTCTAAATTGAATATTTGCTAAGCAATAATCACCAAGTCATAGTTCAGCCATCTAAGGTCGATAAAATAGGACATTATGAATTCTTGGTGATGTTATGCGTCATTACAAATGCTTCATCAACTTTCCACTCTCTTATCAATGAGGTATTCAAACATCATCTCCGAAAATTTGTTTTGGTTTTCTTTGACGAAGTTCTAATTTATAGTACATGTTTGGAGGATCATTTAAAGCATTTGAAAAATGTCTTCTCACTTGTAAGAACTCATAGGTTATTTGTCAACCCCAAATAAAAGTATTTTTAGCTTGAGGTCAGTTAAGTATCTTGGCCATATTATATCTAACAATAGTGTTGCAGTGGATCCTGAAAAAATTAAAGCTATCACCAAATGGCCAAAACCAACGGCTCCTAATCTGTAACAGCCCAGCCCGCTAGTGATATTCTCCACTCTGGGCCTAGACCCTCACAGCGTTAAAACGCGTCACTAGGGTCTAAGGCTTGTTACCCAACATCCCTCTTGTGTTTTGCCGATGTGGGAAGCTGTCTAAAGTCTGGGGTGTTACATAACCAATGAGGGAGTTTTTGGGACTTTGTGGTGAGTACAGGAAATTCATTCAACACTATGGAAAGATAGCTAATCATCTATTGCACAAATGCTCATAAAGAATGCAAGAATAAGGGAAAGAAGATATCGCGGCTGATTTACTTTTCCTCAGAAATTCTGATGTCGATGGCAATTTGAAGGTCATTACTTTACTAGTTCCATGGTGGCTAGAAACAATTAAGGAAGAACATTCGACTAGCCCCAAAATCCAACTTTTGGTTCGCTTAGTACAAGATGGTGAAGCTATTGGTTCCTGGAGTTTTCGAGATGGAGTGTTGTATTTTAAAAGGCGTATTTATCTTGACGAGGAATCGCTTTCATTAAAGGTGATTATTGAACAATTCCATAGTAGCTAGCAACCATGAAAATCTTCATAAGACATTTCATCGTATTCGGACAAACTTTTATTGCAAGGGTTTGAGGAAAAAAGTTCAAATAGCCTCTTGCAGAAATACATGGTAAGTTTGTGTACAATAGACTCTTGTGATCAGGCTCTTCCGCGGACCCCGCACATAGCGGGAGCTTATTGCATCCGGCTGCCCTTTTGAGGAAAAAAGTTCAACACAATTTATTCGTTATTGTGATGTTTGTGAAAGATCATGTTGAGGGAACTGGCCTGCTAGAATGGCCTCTCCTAGAATGATCCCAGCCTCCAGATGAGGTACCACTGAAACCACCGAAATGTCAGGGCCTCTTGCCCCTCATCACGTCGTCGCTGTTCAAACTCAGCTTCCAGTTCAGGTTGATGACTTCATGGAAGTATAAACTTTATCAGTTTCTTAATTTTGAGTAGTTGTTTCATGTTTGCAGTCATAAGTTTGTTCTTTTTAGTGCAGCTTGTTCTTACTCGAAATATATCACTAGCAACAAGAATTGGATATGCAAATTATAAAAGTGAAAATGGTGATTATACCGATTTATATTACAATCCATTGAATATTGCAGCATCTACATTTTAACCAACCAAAGTATATAGAAATCATCAAGAGATGCTAAAAGCTTCTTTGGCATTGCCTAAAAAGCATCAATCCACACTGAAAACTTGAAAATAAAAGGCCAAAAGAACCATTCTTTATTGATCTTGATCATTAATAGCTACATTAATATCCAGACAGAAAAACACTACTAAAAGCTTCTTACTGAATAACATGCCATTTTCTCACTATACTCTAGTAACATTTGGTAATAAAAGCAAAACGCAAAGAGTTTACGTTCTATGCACTGATTGTATAAAAAAACTACACAGTCGGTTCATGCATGTAACTTAAGTCATAAATACCAAGAATATTCAAAGGATTCCCACCTATTAACCAAGACTGTCGTAATTTCTATTGAGTGAAACAAGGCTCCCAGCAAAAGCGAACTTTCTTGTAGAGTATGATTTATAGCCACGCCAATATTGTTGGCCATATTTACTATGACATAGAGCCAGACCATCTTCAGGATATGTCAATGACATAGCATTATCCATCTCATTTCTCCAAGTAGTTATTTCTTCACTATGTTCCCTTCTTCTGTTAGATAATCCCACCTCAATGATCACTTCTTTCTCCAAATTAATAGTTACAAAAATATCCGAGCACGATTTCTGAACCCTTCTCCAAGAATTGCGATTCAAAGAGTAAATTTCATGAATCCATGAATCAGGCTTTCTCTCATGACTTACTATCCTCAGTACTTTATAATCATTGGTTTTAGGAACAAAACCAAAGCCAAAGTCAAAAGCAACATATCCCATATGAATTTTTGGCCTAGGCAAAGCTTTGAATTCTTTAGTTAAAGGGTTCCATAAGTAGACATAAGAAACATGGGAATATAAAGGTCCACAAATACAAAGTATACCATTAACAGGTTTCAATAGCACATACTCTAGAGATAGCAGTTCTATTGGAATCTTGAATTTCCAAATCACATCACTGGGGCTTGTAACATCATTGTAACTCAATAGTGTGTAATTTTTTTGAGAAACTACGTTGATATGAATGGCGATTTCGGGCATGGATAATAGAGAACGCCATGATCTGCTAACGAGGCAGATTTGGAAGAGAGATTTAAATGGCAGTCTGTTGATGATGTTGATTATAATGTCGAACGGCAGATCAGTGAAATTCACATCCCTTTGAGATGAAGAAGAAACTGTGAGATTCTTAGGTTTATTCACTGTAGTTGATCTCCATATGACAATAAAAGGTGCCATAAGAATTAAGAATTCAAGAAAATAATTTCCCATGGCCATAATTTACTGATATTAGAACTAGAGCAGCATTTGAGGTACATATATATTTTCATCAAATCAAATATAGTTAATTTATAATTTGGAGTGTGATTAGCTTTTATTCCGTTAGAAAGGTTCACAAGAGAATGAGGTGCTGAAAAGATGGAGAGATTTGGTCGGGAAGCTAAAAAGGACGGATTTGTTATCACTTTGTTAGATAGTAAAAATGGCAAGAAAGTGTGGCATAATTGTTGGAAAAATATGAATAAAACAAGTATTTTTGATAGTGTCCAAAAGGAATTTATGCCACTTACTTTTCATTCAAAATTTCCATTAACGCTTGCATCAGAGTAGGCTGCCTACATCACACACCCCTTGCGATGCTGCGGCTTTTCCTCGGATCCTACGTGAATGCGGATACATCTTGCATCGGGCTGTCCTTTTTTACTTTTCATTCAAAATTTTGCGAAGTAGACTAATATGCTATACGGTAAAACCTTTACCATTCCACAATACCCTTCGGTGATATCTTTCGTTCTCTTAGCATGTAGTAGTACATTATTACTAACTAATTTACTAAAGAGAAATTTTCACAAACCACTATTGTTTAGTGGTTATTAGCTAGTTGTAGCTACCATTTACAATATTACTACCTATAGCTATGTTTTCAGTTTTTTTAGAGTGTATTCATGAATACAGTAGCAAAACTCTGCGTGAAACAGGGGATTCGAGCTAGACAATTATTGTATTCGACTGTATTCGACATATTTTTAGTACTGTATTCGATTGTATTCGACTGTATTCACGATATGTATTTGTGAATACAGTGACGTAAATAGCGCAAATCGTGGTCTATTCAGCTGCTTTTAAACGGAAAGTGAATCAATTAACACAATAGACTCCTAATATAACTCAACTAACTCAATTACATCACCCATAATCTGTATTTGACGCGAAATATGCTGAATATTTTTCCCAGCCGATAAATACAACAAAACATAGCAGTTTGAATACATATATACATCTGAAATACATGGAATACAGCGACATACATTGAAATAAATGAAAAAAAAAGACAGTGAATACAATGAAATACATGAAAATACAATTGAAATACATTGAAATATATTAACAGAATCTTCAAGTTGCTCAGCCCCAAACTCCGTCATCTTTGTTCAAGAATAACCCTAATGTCGTCTCGTCGAGAGGGCCGCGATTTTGACTCGAAACGCCACTGTTCCCGTTTCGATCAAGAACCCAGTCCCGTTTCGATCTGTATTTGGGAGCAGCAGTTCGCCATGAAGTACAAACACCACCAAAAGCAATGAAATCTTCCATCACTTTAATACGCTTTGCAATCATAGTAGTGAGTTCGTGCTACAATTCTGCCCAGTTCGCCATAGCAGAAGTGGATGGATGAGGAAGGAAGATGTACTATAGATTCGGAATGGGCTTTTGAAATAAGGTCCAATTGATTAGGGCACAATATATAAGAAGCGGCAATAACACAAAAATAGCAATTGGTTCGGTGAAAGTAGAGAGCTACAGGGAGTTTCAATGGGTGGTTTTGCCCCTCTCTGTCATTCTTCGCCGTCGATGATCACTCAAATGAAAATTTTCCGAGACAATGGAGATGAATCAATGGAGAATCGTGGTTGTATTCATGGAGAAAGACTGACGTTGAGAGAGAGAGGGTGGAGAAAAATCTAAAAAAATGAGAGAGAAAAATAATACAAAGCGTATTTTATTGCTTAAGGGTAGGAGGTGACCATAAATAGATATTTGACTATAAAATTCAAAAGGTAGCTATGGAATATAATTTTTTAAAAGGGTATTTATTTAAAATAAATAAGTTATCAACCTTTGCTATAGGAGGTAAAAATTCCTTTACTAAATAATACGCAGTAGTAAGAGGTGGGCTTAATTAACCTAATGTTGAGCAAACCATAAATTGGAAATGACACCAGATGACCACTTTTAAGCATGTCATTTAAAATATATCCACAGTTTACAATGTATTTAAAGATTAGCCAATTTCGCTCAAACTTCAGGACACGGCTTCCTAGAGTTTAAACCTCAAAACTCAAACTTCAGGACATCGTGTCCTAAAGTTTGAAAATTGTGTCCTGAAGTTCAAATCTTATTTCCTGAATTTTAAATTAGTAGTTCAGAAATTCAGGACACTAAGTCCTGAATTTTCAAATTCGACATACTTAGTCCTGAAGTTTGGATGAATTGGCTAATTTTTAAATACATTGTAAATTATGGATATATTTTAAATAGCTGGCTTAAAAGTGACTATTGCTGCACTTCGCCCAATGTGAAGCAAAAGAAGAAAAAGAGGGAGGCGGGGATGAAACGAGAGCAAGGCAACCTTTTTTTTTTCTTTGTAATATCCTTTATTCACAAATTATGTATACAAAATAGTAACAGTAGCTTAGGCTATGAATTTTTATTTTTTTACATCACTTTTATTAACACAACAAACAATAAAATACATTCTTTTGGGGGTAAACAGTAAGGACCAAACTATATTCTATTCAGCAGATTTCTTTCATCTCTCTCTCTTTTTGAAGAATGCTACAGTCAAATATATTTAGTTGTTTTGTAATGGTGATAGGACATTTTTGCGGTATTCAGCCAAACCCCATAATGGATATATATTTCTGTATGCAGCATAGTGCAACATGCAATTCTTCATGAAAACACCAGTAATTTCCTGCACATTTATGTTAAACACAAATCAGATAATTTTCCATAAGACCAATTTTTTTTTTTGATAACATGTGACCAGGAGGTCACGGGCTCGAACCGTGGAAACAGTTTCTTGCAGAAATGCAGGGTAAGGCCGTACAATAGACCCTCGTGGTCCGGCCCTCCCCTGGACCCCGCACATAGCGGGAGCTTAGTGCATCGGGCCGCCCTTTTTAATAATCGAGAAATCCCCGAGGGCCTGTGGCGAGGATTTTCTCCTTTGTTTAGCTTGTAATATGTAGACTAATTACCTGCTGTGGGAAGTCACCATCTTCCATCTGAGAATTAATCAACAGCCTTGCTGCGCGGTGGAGCGGCCTTGGATCTCTGCCAACCTGTCCAAATGGTAAAGTTGGTAAATTACTATTTTGAAGAAGAAAATATTTTACTATGATTTTGGAATAAATTAGCATTTACTAGTAGTAACAAGGAATTTACCTGTCCTGAGTGAATCAATCCCATCAATGCCCATGCAGTTTGTACAAGATTTGAGTTATCTGTTTCAAGTTCTCTATATACCTGTTTTGATCAAATACAAAGTTGAGTCGCAGTTGTATTTTCCAGAGGTATCTTTAATTTTTCCTCCTCTTCTATAAGGGGTACGCGTCTTAATAGAAAATATAGAAAACCTCCAATGTTAGAAAACTTGTTCTAAATTATTGAATGTTGGCATGAAATGGTCAGAAACAGCCTCTCTACCTTCACAAGGTAGGGGTAAGGTCTACATACACATTACCCTCCTCAGACTCCACTTGTGGGATTACACTGGGTGATTTGTTGTTGTTGTTGTTGGCATGAAAAGGATCCAAAATGGACCGGTATGATTATTGAGAATTCATATGGTCGACCCTAACTACGTAAAGATTGAGACGTAGTTGTTGTTACTGTTGTTTTACATAGCAATTTTGCTTTTACATTACCTTGTCTGGGCAAGAACGGTAGCTTTCGCCCCAACCACCATCAGACCTTTGTGTTTGTAACAGAAATTCAACGCCTTTACGGACAGCTGCACAGTTGCTGTAACTCTTGCCTGCTGCAGCAAGCCCTCCAAGCGCGAACCAGGAACCATATGTGAAGCACACACCCCAATTACCATACCTGTTAACATGATTACTCGTGTCATATGTTGTCGAACTATATGTTGTAAGTTCAAGGGGTTTCGGAAGAAAATGTAATATACCATGAGCCATCGGGCATCTGTACATCTTCAAGATATTTAACAGCATTAGCAACGAAATTGTCTATCTCTTTTGTTCGGTGTCCAGGGTACAGCTTCTTAAACAGAACAAGTGCTTGAATTGATGAAGCAGTGCACTCAACATACCTGGATTGACATTTAATCGGTGTTGTAAAATGAAAACTAACAAGGGAAAAGGGAAAGGAACCAGAGAAACAAATCTTACTCATGCTCAATGACAATGTCCGCGAAAAATTCAGTAGGATTGAGCAACTGTCAGTGAATAAAACAGAACAAGAAAGTTAAAGCACGGAGATAGAATTCCTAAATCATGAATTTCAAACTCAAACTTAACGATTGTTTTACTTGGCAGAAAAGTTACCTCCAAATATTCCGAGGCCCCTGCAGGCTCCCACGCTGCTAAACCCCCATTTTTGCTCTGCAATTTCATTTAAATTGGATCTTATTACTACTGTAAAGTATAGGTTTCTCTTGGAAATTTTGAAGCAGCAGAAAATAACTTAAGCTTAAATAACTAATGATTTGAGGATAATTTTTCAGTGTTTACCTGTAAGGAAAGAATAACATTCACCGAGTCATAAAGTCGAGAAGGTTCCATTGCCTCACCAACTAATTCAGGAGGCATTGTAGAGAAGAGAAGACAGCACTAGAGAAACAAACGAAAGAAGAGCTCAGACAAATTTACTAGCATCATCTTATCATTTTTTCTGCAATTACAAGAAGTGGAAATTTGAATTCATGGAAAAGTTAGATACCTTTAATGCTTCAGCAGTGCAATCAGAGACTTGCCAGCCATGATCTTGATCTGAAAATGTCCACGATCCTTTTGAGATATGCCGATACATCCCTTTAAAATCACCAGAAGGATTGTCCTTCACCTGCGAGAAGTCGCTTCTATTACTAAGGCTTAGTTGAAAATGAACCATTTTTTGAGAGAACAGTTGAATGCAAAGAACAAGTTTTCATGATTTAAACATCCAAACCTGCGATTCTTTTATAAAGTTGTGTCCTCTTTTAAGAGTTTCTGCTATCTCATCCTTCATCTCACTGGCCAATAGTGCTTGAATAGCAAAACCAGTATCCCATTCTTGACTACCAAAACTCTGCAATTAAACAACAAACACTCGGAAATTTCAGCAACGATTCTTTGCATCAGTTAAAAAAAAGTAAAAAAGGAGACTAGATTTTTTATTTTACAAACACGCGTTAAGTGTAAAAGAGATCCTATTTTAACTTGCTGTGGTTTGTGACATAGTATAATTCAGATCTACCAACCTGCATTTTCATTCCATCTTCAGCTACCCACAAATAATCTGGGATTCTAGCAAGATGTTTTTTGAAATAATCACCGTTGGGATCCTCAACCCAACAAGCAAGCATGCACAGTACCTACACCATCCGAAGTGTTACATAAGTGTCCAACAATTTAATTCATTAAGAAAATACATTTATGCAATCTGTTCAAAAAGAATCAGTTGCCATACTTTTTCGACACATCCAATGGTGATGTATCGACTATTCTCATCTTCATAGTGTATGTGTTTCATGGTAACTTCAAGAGCTTTATTTCTCAGTTTGTTGAAAGGCCAACGAGTCAATAGAGGCTCGGTACATATGTAGAGACTGTCCCACATCAAATCTTGAACCAACGGATGAGGGTAGTAGAGATCCTCCTGCAACAACAAGTATGTGTTTTAGCATTTCTAAAAGGGATGTTTATGTACATATTAACTTCAAAACTGATAGTTTTTTTTTACCTTAGCACATACATGGCGTACTTTTCTCCAATTAATTTCATTGTATGGTTGATCATATAACTCTTCCCTCAGTTGCAAAATGAGAGGTGTGATTGGACCAACAAATCTCTTCCCATAGAGATAAGACATTGGCATGTAGACCATTCGACAGTAACACCACATTTTCGCTGCATTTAAATTGAGAGTTAAAATACGAGGTAGATCCAAATGCTGCATAGCAAATCCTGAAAATTAATACCTACAACATGTACTAAATATTTAGGATGTCCAAATAAAAAAATTGACCAACCTGGATGTATGGGAAGAAAAGATGGAAGAATCCAAAACTCAGGGGGCATTGGGTTGGTTCCTAACCACTCAAAAACTCCAAGAATCTGAATGAAATAAGGGAATATTTCTCAGCAAAAAGAAGGAATATATATACATGACACTTGAATGTTTACTTTACAATGTAGAATGACATAATTTACTGAGTTTAACTTTTATATGCTAATCGTGTAAAAGAACTTTACACTATCAGGTCACATAAATGATAACTACAGTTAACTGTCCACAATAAGTGGGATTAGTAACATAGAAATGAAGGCAGGTTACCTGCTACAACAAGTTAAAATACACTAATAATGTAAAATTTTGCAGACCGTCATGTATATAAGTTATATCCTAATATATAATAAACATAATGACATGTAACACTATACGATAAGTAGGAATTAGTAACTTAGAAAATAAGGCAGATTACACCAGATTAAAATAAACTAATAGTGTTAAAAAAGTATGTACACGGTAAGTGTATATAAGCTAAATCCTAATTTGTATACTCTAAAAGAGTTCTTCAGATAATCATACCGAGAGCCATGTTTTACCCCATGAAGGAATCGCGGTGACACTACCATGATCAAGAATCCATTTCCTTGCTCTAGCACATGCATTGTTTTCGCCACCATCCCGTCCTTCCCCAAGAATCCTCATGCATATGTAACTCAGTGTTGTACAGAACATTGTACTATGACCTTCTATGTGCAAACCCCATCCACCATCTTCATTCTGAATAATTTAGAAGGTTGTTAGCAGTTCAGAAATGAGTTTAACTTTTATGCATACAAGTGTATATTAGTCTAAAGTGTAAAACTTTTTATACTGTCAGCCTATATAAAGTTAAATTATTTAGGAATCTGCAAAGCAATCTTTGGTAGAAAAGGATAGTATTCATTGAAACATTTTGTCAAGTACCTGGTGACAGTATATATACCGAAGAATTTCCTTCCGATGTTCAGCTGGGAATACAGTATTAAGATGACCGGTGATATACACACACATAACCTGCATTTTTCGTCCCCAAGAAAATGAACAAAGAATTAGTTTTCTTCAATACAACGTACAAGAAATTTTTTTATATAACCTAAACACAACTACAGATTCATAATATTTGAGATTAATAACACAGAAAAAGTAACATGTTACAACATATACTAACTAAAATAAACAGAGACAATTTAAAATCCTTCTACATTGTTGTGATAAAAAAATCTAAAGGCTAAATACATACGCAGACACTTAAAATTGTCACGATTTGTCATTTAGACGCCTCATTTAGACCTTGTTCCGACTGAACACCTGTAGCAGACCCAAAGTGTACCGATCAAACACATTTCAAACTAGCTTGGAAGTAACTCAAGCGCGTCTGCAAGCGTTCCTTACGTGGAATAATTAGTCAATTAAATTGTTCATACACTTGGAATAAGTCAATTTCACGCCTCTTTTGGCTTTCCATACTTCTACTTATGTTCATCTTTCACACCGAAGGGATTTAATTGACTAATTATTCGATGTAAGGAGCGCTTGAAAGCACGAGCTTGAGGTATTTCCAAACCAGTGGTGAATGTGTCTGATTGGTACAATTTGGACCTACTAAAGATGTTAAATCGATACAAGGCCTAAATGAGGTGTCTAAATGAAAAATCGTAACAACTACTTTAGGTGTCTCTATACGTATTCGGCGAAATCTAAAAGGAAACGTACCAAAGGTGGAAGAAAGAATAAAGGACCAGCATTTTCAGCAGGCCAATGACCATCACTAGCTTGTAATGCTGAAAAAAAATGAACAGCTCTACGCAATGAAGTTGTGGCAACTTCATCTGTAATTTCTTCTCCTTCTTCTACTTTTACTGCTGGAATTTTCTGTTCGAAATTCTTCTCTCGAAGAAACTGCATACATAGAAAAAATTTTGACATTTAGATTATTTTTAGAACATATTGCCTTAACAGTACAGACTTAACATGTAACCGAGCCGGAATTTCAATTTTATAGGGTCCTGTAGTTTAAAATAACGGCTTCCTCTATTAACTGAGTTCTAGATTTAATATTATTACATAAACAAATACTTAAAGAAAAGTTATTGGTTCGCTCGAATCCGTAGTTGTAGCTGCATGTAACTCGTGTCGTGTGGGTAGTCAAATTATGTAATGTTATATAATTTCTTAAGTTTGTGAAAATTCACAAGTAGATGGTTCAAAAGTACATATCTCGTTTAACTGAAGGTTAAATTTGCTTAGCCAAATATCATGAGGACCAAAATAAGAATTTATTGATATTTGAGGGATTAAAAGTGAAATTTTCCTGTCATAGTTATATGGTGATATTTTGATGGGACATGAAGTATAAGAAAACAATAAAGTACTTGGAAGCAACTCCAATAAATACTCATAATTTGTGTAGAAAGCGAAAAGAAAATAATTTCCATTTCAACTAAATTTATTAAATATTGACGTGAATATCAAGTCAAACATTCAATGATATATACCCAGCAGTACTTTAACTTTCCTTTTACAATAATATTTAATAATTATGTAATTTGGACATCAAATCTTTAAAATTTTGTTCATTAGTTGCTTATAATGATTATAATTCAAAACGCTAGGGAACCAAATTTGCTCATAAATCTGTTAACTTAGTGATGACTATAGGGGAATCAGAAATAGTCAGAATTATAATTGGTAATTGCAAAAATAGCCACAATTTTAAAAGTAGTCAAAATTTAGCTACTTTTTTATGTGAATATAAAATCTAAACAAAAACATCCTTAAAAATCGGGAAAAAATCCAGCATTATATGCTGGCGTTTGAATATTTTATAAATGAGATTCCAGCATAATGTGCTGGAATTTCATAATGTGTTGTAGTTCCATCATAATATGCTGAAAGTTTATACGTAGGAGCTCCGTAATCTAGTATATTATGCTGAAACTTTCCATGTATGTTGGAACTCCATACACAAGAGCTCGATAATCCAGCATATTATGCTGGATCTTTCGGTATTTCAGATTAATAGTTGTTATTTTTCAACCACTTTGCAAATACTTGACTATTTTTCAATCATTAGTCCGAAATCTGACTAGCCCGTCCAATTTTACTAACTATAGTGATAACTATATATATATGAAAACATGTGTCGTGTATTCATTGGACTGGTATAAACGTCGGGTTATGTACCTGCATTCGCCAAAGAAGATCTCCACTAGGCTTGACTTTATACCTATTATTCCAAAATTGTTGACGAGCCTCTTCAATCTCCTTTCGTTCTTCTGGTGTTCCAGCATTTGGATCAAACTCCCACGTTTGACGTCCTACGTAGTTGTTTGTGCTGTACAAATATGGTCCATCTTGTCCTTCTGCAATCTTCAACTTCCACATTCTTAACACTTTCTTCTAGCTTTTACTCTCCGAGTTGCTCTAAGAAAAAACCAATAAATTATACGTCAAACTGACGAAGTCAGAAATTTTACTAAGAATGTTATATATACGTCAAGAAGTAATGTTTGACTTGTATAAATAATATAATTTTCCGACAAAAAGTGCCTATGCATCAAGACAGCACAACACAGGGGCGGAGGCACAAGTCGAACCCAGTAGATTTTGCTCAAACAATGTATTTGTTGTTTAAAATTCATCAAATATGTACGAATATTAAATTTAAAACTCTAACACTTGAAATCGTATTCTAGAATCCAGAACTCATGCATAAGGCGGAAATACTGCCTCCGCCTCTAGTACTACCACATAACCATCGTTTATAATCTAATAATATAAATTAGAATCCTCACTATCCGCAATTCCCATGTATAACTACTACAATTGCTGTTATATCTCAATTTGAAATAAATTGGTTTCAGCTATATAAATTCTCACTGATCACGTAACGAAAGAAATTTAACAAAACCTACCACCCCTTTTCATCGAACCCATGAAAAAGGTCCTACAAGTCTCAAAACTTTTCATGCAAAATGAAGATGAAGTGAACAAAAATGGTGTGTGTGTGTGTGTGTGTGTGAGAGAGAGAGAGAGAGAGAGAGAGAGAGAGAGAGAGAGAGAGAGAGAGAGTAATGTGCAAGAAGGGAAAGATTTCCATACCTGCACGTTATGTAGAGATTGGATATGGAAATTAAAGGAGATGACTCACTTAAATAAGAGGAATATTTGCTGAAAGAGTGTAGGTGTAAAAGGGATGAAATGAAATCTGGTAAATTTGTTGATTTTCTGTTAAAGACTCACTAAGTTTTTTTAGGGGGAATTTGGAGAGAAAGCAATATACGAAAAAGGATACCTTTGTTTGGTAGGTTGCAGAAGATGATAAACTAATTATGACTGTGTTGTGAAAAATGTGAATGATCTATGCAACTATTTATACAAGGAATGTAATTAGTTTCTTTGTCATTTTATTATGATAATGAATATGCCATTTATCGGCTTTTTTCCTCTTTCTTTTTGTCTTATCTTCTTTTGTTGCAGAATTAATCTTCTATTTTGTTGAGTTTAAATTATTTGATTTGGTGATAATATTGAGTGTGAAATAGTATATGTAGGGCAGCCCGGTGCACTAAGCTTCCGCTATGCGCGGGGTCCGGGGAAGGGCCGGACCACTAGGGTCTGTTGTATGCAGCCTTACCCTACATTTTTGTAAGAGGCTGTTTCCACGGCTTGAACCCGTGATATCCTGGTCACATGGCAGCAACTTTACCAGTTACGCCAAGGTATATATATTCAAAATTATTATATATATATATATATATATATATATATATATATATATATATATATATATACACGTGAGTAAATGTTAGGTGTTTGTCCAGATTTTCTTACCATAATTGGTTTTTCTATCTCATGAAGGAAAGGACAACATATTTACCATAATTGGGTTTTCCTTTTTGTAGAAGGAAATTATAATTCTTCCATGTTTGGCTAGTCCTTTTTCTTGTAGGAAAATGTTTGGACTTCTTTAAATTGAGGATCCGTCCTTCTCATTCAGCAGTATCCATGATGTAGCCATATGGGGTTTGAGAGTCGTGTTTTCGGGGAGAACTTTACGAGACAAGTGTTAGTGTGTCACTTGTGTTTGCCTCTTCGTGAGGTTGTTCTCTCAATATTTTGTACTCTCTTTTATTCAGTGGATTGCTCATCTCCGACATGGACGTAGGTCAGCTGACCGAACCACGTTAAATGTTTGTGTCTCTTTTGGTAGATTTCTCTTTTGTTGTATGATTTATCGTCACTCAAGGTTTGCTTTGGTAGCTTCCGCATGACACCTAATTTTTTCGGTCCTAACAGTAAATTTATAAGAATTGATTGAATATATTTTCACTTTTCTTTTCAAGTCGGTAGTTCTAAATTTCGAAGCATGGTGCGAAGTTTGTTAATAATAAAGTGACAGAAAAAGATGTTCTTTTAGTATTAACCAATGTATTCTTTAGTCTATCCTTTAACCACCAAAAACTATTAGATATTTATCACTTTCATGCTAGTGATATGTCTTTAATTACTAAAAAATGCGAATTTTTGACATATTTTTTGTCGAAAATTCCTTTCTATAGACAACTTAAATCTAAAAAGTAAGCCAAGATAAAAGGAGACCAACATGTTTGCTTAAAAAGTTCCTATATTTATACACTTCATATAATGTCTCAATTAATAAATTACCAAAATAATACACTTCATATAATCTCGTATGGATTACAAAAATCATATATAATTATTAGAAATATTAAGTTGACAGATATACACAACAATAACTGAAAAAAATCGAAATGTAATTTTGGTAAGAAAA